AAATCAGGTAGGGTGAATCACCACTCAGTTTTGTTTTGGTTTTTTTTTTTTCTAACTTTTTATTATCTACACTTGTTTACTCTCCTGAGTGATTTTTAAAAAACAATACTTCAGCCTGGCCGGTGTGGCTCAGTGGTTGAGTGTTGACCCATGAACTAGGAGGTCACAGTTGGACTCCCAGTCAAGGCACTTGCCCAGGTTGCTCGATCTCCAGTAGGGGTGTGTAGGAGGCAGCTGATCAATGATTCTCATCATTGATGTTTGTCTCTCCCTTTCCTTTCCTCTCTGAAATCAATAAAAATATATTAAAACACACAAATAACTTCAATTTTACATGAAGTTGCACGAATAAACACAGTCTAGGGAACATCCAGATGCAGCTATTGCTAACATTATCTCTTGTGCTTCATTATTGAGACCCTATGTTGGAACACAAAACACAAACACAAACCAACACGAGATACAATTTTCTGAATCTTTGGAGGTGAGTTATGTCCATCTGGGTCCTTTACTCCCAAATTCTTCATGTGTGTTTTGTAGGAATAGACATACTCCCTTTCATAATCACAGTGCAGTTATCAATGTCATATACTTACATTATTACAGCGCTTTTAAGTAATCTAGCATCCTTATTCCAATCTTACCCATTATTCTAACGATGCCATTTTTAACACTTTCCTGTGACCCACATCCATGTTTGGGTTGGGTATTATATTCTTCAGCATCTTTCCTTCGTCTGGAACATTTTCTTAACCGTTGCCTTTTAAAAAACCGACATGTTCAAAGCATTTAGTTCTCTCGCATTTCCATTACATCCCTTAATGCTTGTTTTCCCCTGATTCACTTCAGGTTGTGCATTCTTAGCCATGGGTCTGTCCTCCTCAGGGAATGGCACCCATGTCTATCTGTCACTCATAGGTTGATGTGAAAGTCTTTTGCCTTTTTTCTCTCCCCTGTATAACCAGGTTTTACCTGCCCTTTCTACTAGTAAGCAAGTAAATATCCCGGCCCTGCTTCCCTCTGACCCCCATTGAGTACCCATCGTACCTGCTTGTCCAGTCTTTTCGTGATGGCTGCCAAAAAAGACCACCAGGCCCTAACCGGTTTGGCTCAGTGGATAGAGTGTCAGCCTAAGGACTGAAAGGTCCCAGGTTCGATTCTGGTCAAGGGCATGTATCTGGGTTTCGGGCACATCTCCATTAGGAGGTGTGCAGGAGGCAACTGATTAATGTTTCTCTCTCAATATTTCTAACTATCTCTCTCCCTTCCTCTCTGTAAAAAAAAAAATCAATAAAATACATATTTTTTTAAATGATTGTCATATTCTCTTCAGAATCTGCGAGTGGGTGGGTAGGATACCTGTACTTCCTTCCTTCCCCCCCCCCTTTTTTTTTTTTTTTTTAGCATGAGAGTAACCATGAAAAAAAAAACCCAGAGCTTTTTACACTGAAATGAAATTTAAATTGCTAGCCACATTAAACAGATAGCAATTTCCGCATCTACGTGTGGGCGCTGACACGTGTAAATACTTCTCCTTGTCATAAGTGGCGTTTACAAATAATAAAAAGGTATAATGATTTATGAAACATGAGAAGTTTAGCACTTTGAAAAAATACGGAATTATTTTAAAATGGTAACATTTGTGCTTTGCCCCTCTGCCAGCCTCTGGCCCACCAGATGCCACACTCCTGCCATGTGACAGTGGCCAGGTCACAGGACCCTTTAAACACAGGCCTAATGTGTGACTGTACATGGTAACTGTCATGGGAACGTGCCCGAGGTCGCAGTTCTTGTGCTGATCCTCCAGAAAGGAAAGCTCTTGACGACCCAGCGAAGGAAGGCCTGCTTGGTTCATGGCAGGCCGGGTTTTGCAGTCCACTGCTCATGTGCACTGGTGGTTCCGAGGGCAGAGGGCTTGGGCACCTGCTCCGTTAGCGCTCTGCCCAATGTGGTGCGGGTGAGAGAGAGGCTCAGGAACCCTCAGCGAGGCTGAGCTGCAGCGGATCAGCCTCCAGGGTGCCAGAGTTTGCACAGGGACCCCCCTCCCTGCGGTGATGCGCAGGCCCACCTGCAGGTCTCCCTCTGTGACGCGCCTGGTGGCCCCCAGGGGGCGCTGTCATCAGCAGCGCGGCCCCCGGCGGCCAGCAGTCTCCACCCCGCGATGGGGCAACCGGGAGGGGAAGGTTGGGCCTCCCGGGCCCCTGTAGCGCAGCCCCTGCCCTGCGGTGCTGGTGGCCGCGGCGGGCACCATGCCCTGGCGGAGTTACCTCTGCTGTGAGTAGGGCGCCCCCCATCGGAGGGCCACCCCGGGGACCGGCGGGCGGGACGGCGATGAGGCCGTTAGTGGCGGGAGCGGAGGTGAGAGATGCTGCCTCCCAAAAGCATCCTTAGCGTCAGCAAGGGCCCAGAGATGCTCTCACCAGGGAGCCTGGGGTGACCAGAATGGGGGTGCGGGACAGGAGGGCGCAGGCATTGCTGTTGGGGAGCAGCGGGAGGTGAGTGCGGCCGACTAATAGAAAATGGGACCGAGAGCCGAAACCGGTTTGGCTCAGTGAATAGAGCATCGGCCTGAAGACTGAAAGGTCCGGGGTTCGATTCCGGGCAAGGGCATGTAGCTTGGTTGCGGGCACATCCCCAGTGGGGGGTGTGCAAGAGGCAGCTGATCGATGACTCTCTCTCATCGATGTTTCTAGCACTCTAACCCTCTCCCTTCCTCTCTGTAAAAAAATCAATAAAACATATTAAAAGAAAAAAAGAAAGTAAGTAAATGAGACCGAGAGCGGGATCCGGGTTTCAGGGCGGGTTCCAGCCCCGTGGGCAGCCGCACGATCGCACGTGGTTTGGGGCAGGATACAGGCACAGGTGTGCGATCATGGTTGGCTTTTACGTTGGAACCCATTTTTAAGCCTTGGCCACCGGGCTCGGCTCGGTAGTTTAGAGGGCTGCCCTCTAGGCCAAACCTCAGGGAAGGTGGGGGACGGTGGGGGTAAGGGGGAGAGATCAACCAAAGGACTTGTATGCGTGCATATAAGCCTAACCAATGGACACAGACAGCAGAGGGGTGAGGGCATGAATGGGGGGGGGGGGGGGTTAATAGGGGAACAAAGACACATATGTAATACCTTAATCAATAAAGGGGGGGGGGGGTGTGACAGCTTCCTGATGTGATCAAAGCGGTATTTTAAGAAGCAGGCGTCTCCATAGGCTCCACACAGACCCTTGGGGTGCAGGGGGCCGGTGGAGCTGAAATGGGGGCAGAGTTGCGTTTGCCAGGCCTTTGCCCAGAGCACCAGGGCCGGGCTGGAAGACGCTCTGACAAGAGTGGCTCCGAGGATTAGTTAGGTCAACAGACAAATTTTGTAATCCTGCATACATTTTTTTAACATATGCATAATCCCCCTCGATAAAGAAGACATCTGAATCCTGCTAAGCTCTAAGCACTTGGCAGCCGTTCGCCCTTGTTTCCCTGGTCTTGACGGTAAACCCCCCATGCTCCCAGAAGGCAGGAAAAGTGTTGCGGATTGAAATGCAGATTTAGGGGCGGTGGAAGGAGGAGGAGTGGGGAGGACGGTGTGATTAACACCTGCTCTCCCACTGTGGGAGCACAGTGTCCCAGCCTTTTTCATTGAATTCTAAAAAGGTTAGTGAATGGGTTTGTTTTTTCCTCGTGCTCACTGACAGGGAATTTATGTTTTTGTTTATTACTAGTAAAACTACTAGAGTAGAGTTTATTGGGGGAGGGGTAGAGGGGGGACTTGGCATTTTTGCTCTGGTGAATTTCCAATGATACCATCTACCTTTTAAAAAGAAGGTCACACCTCTTGTGTTGCATAAGGAGTGTTTGTGAATATGTTAATTGTCCTCCTTACAAATGCACTTAAAGAGATCTTTAATTCTTGATGCAGTAGAATATAAGGATCAAAATGGAAGTTATATCTAAATTTATTGACTGGCATTTTTTTCATAAGGAAGTACTCCCTGCTCCCATTTATTTTTTTAGTATCACTCTTTTTTTTTTTTTTTTTAATCCTTGTTTGAGAATATGTTTTCCATTGATTTTTAGAGAATGGAAGGGAGGGAGGAAGGGAGAGAAAGAAACATGGATGTAAGAGAGACATACATCTGTTGGTTGCCTCTTACACGAGCCCTGATTGGGGACAGGGGTCAAACCTGCAATCCAGATATGTGCTCTTGACCGAGAAACCTGAAATCATTCTGTATGGGATCAACGTTCTAACTACTGAGCAAACTAGCCAGGGCTTTAGTAGCACTCTCGATTCATGGATTTCTTTATTTTATTAAATGCATTGTAACCTATCACTGTTACTATTCTTTTTTATGCCTCAAAGTTTGGCCAGAAGGAGCCCCTTCAAGCTGGCTCTTGTCCTTTTGATATGCCTCCCTCAGCTTTTGAGTTCCTCTTTTCTGCTGTGCTGAAAAATACTCTTCATACTTGACCCAACCAGAATTTCCCAAGGAGCTCTAGTGTCTTCGGGGGACTTGTTAGAGACCAGATTAGTGATCACATAGAATGCCCCTCCTTTCGATTCGTCTGCTTGCTTGTGTTGTTATTTGCTTATTTCTTCAACCCAGTGTTTCCTATAAAATGGAACAAGTTATGTCTAAAACGTGATGGATTCTAGATCATGGGTGTGATAGGTGATTCCATTTTGCATTGCAACAGAATGTACACTGTCTGGTTCATCCGCCCTTTGTGAAGTTGTGGCTACTCATTTTTCGATTGTTAACCTTCTCTTCACAGAGAGAGCAGAGCAGTACCTTTAAACCTGAATTTTGTAAGTCATTTGAGAGAAGTAGACACTGCCTTAACCTATTGAGATTCACAAGTACTAGATAAGACCCTTCCCTACCCTGGAGTTGGCTGACATTAAAGAACGTGTGACCTGGTTGTGTCTTCAACATGTTTTCGTTTTCTTGAATTGTAATATTTATTTTGTCCCTTCTTCTCCCCTCCCCCTCCCTTTTTTTTCTGTTCACAGTTGGACAGAGAGAGTCCGAAGATGAGAGAGAGTCAGACAAGGAGATGGCTGCCAACTCCTCGGCGGTCCAGGACATCGCAAAGGATGGGCAGGAGGAGATGCCGGAAATAATTGAGCAGGTCCCTTCTTCGGAGAGCAACTTAGAAGAGCTAACACAGCCTGCCGAGTTGGCCCAGACCAATGACGTCGGGTTTAAGAAGGTGTTTAAGTTTGTCGGCTTTAAATTCACTGTGAAGAAGGATAAGAGCGAGAAGTCCGACCCGGCCCAGCTGCTCACTGTCCGGAAAGAGGGAGGCGAAGGAGCCGGAGAGTCGGAGGGGGCCGGTGACCACCAGGAGCCCAACCTGGAAGCCGGGGAAGCAACACACAAGGAAAGTGAGCTGAAACAGTCCGCAGAGAAACCCGAGGACACCCCGAAACCCGAGGACACCCCGAAACCCCCCGAGCAGAGCAGCTCGAACATCTCTCTCCAAGCCGAGTCCGGTCAAGTGGCCGGGGAAGGCAGAGATGGGGAAGAAAAACAAGACAAAGAGCCAGCCAAATCTCCAGACTCTCCCACTAGCCCGGTGGCCAGTGAAACGGCGTCGCCCTTCAAAAAATTCTTCACCCAGGGCTGGGCCGGCTGGCGAAAGAAGACCAGCTTCCGGAAGCCCCGGGACGATGAGCTGGACGCTCCGGAGAAGAAGAAGGAGCCAGAGCCAGACCGAGGAGACGCGGAGGAAAAGGAGAAGACGGACGACGCCTCCGGGAAGCCGGCTGCTCCCGAACAACCACAGCCGCGGGAGGCCAGACTGTCGGCCGAGTACGAGAAGGTGGAGCTGCCCGCTGAGGGTCCCGGGCAGGCCTCCCCCGAGGAGCGATGCGCCCCGTTAGCCACAGAAGTGTTTGACGAGAAGGTGGAGATCGTGGCCGAGGTCCACGTGAGCACGGCGGAGCGGGCCGAGGAGCAGAAAGCGGAGGTGGGAGACCCAGAGGGGCCCCCGCCGTCGGAAAAGCTGGCCGAAACCAATGCTGAGCCTCAGGAAGCTGGACCTCCACCAGGGGGTGCGCCTGGGGGGGACCCCATCCAGCCCCTCCAGCCCCCCGAAGCAAGTCCCGATGATGACGAGAAGGCGCCGCCTGCCCAGCCCGAGGGCGTGGTGAGCGAGGCGGAGATGCTGGCCTCGCAGGAGAGGGTGAAGGCGCAGGGGAGCCCCCTGAAGAAGCTCTTCACCAGCTCCGGCCTGAAGAAGCTCTCCGGGAAGAAGCAGAAAGCGAAGAGGGGGGTTGACGAGGAGTCGGGGGACCAGCCGGCGGCCCAGGCCGACTCCCCGGACAGCCCCGAGGAGCAGAAGGGCGAGAGCTCGGCGTCCTCCCCCGAGGAGCCCGAGGAGATCACCTGCCTGGATAGGGGCGTCGCGGAGGCGCCCCCCCAGGAGGGGGAGGCCGTGGAAGAGGGCGCCGCTTCCGACGGAGAGAAGAAGCGAGAGGGCGTGACCCCCTGGGCGTCTTTCAAGAAGATGGTGACGCCCAAGAAGCGGGCGCGGAGGCCCTCCGAGAGCGACAAGGAGGAGGAGCCGGAGAAGGTGAAGAGCGCCACGTTGTCCTCCACGGAGAGCGCGGCCTCCGAGGCGCCGGAGGAGGGCAAGGGCCCCGGGGACGAGCCCAAGCCCGAGGAGCCCAGGCGCAAGGTGGACACCTCCGTGTCCTGGGAGGCGCTGATCTGCGTGGGGTCGTCCAAGAAGAGAGCGAGGAAAGCGTCCTCTTCCGACGAGGAGGAGGGACCCAAGCCCACGGCGGCGGTGGCGGTGGCGGCGGCGGGAGAAGGCCCAAGGCCGGACGACGCAGGGAAAGACCGAGAGGCCGGGCCAGACGCCGTCCCCGCCGGCTCCCAGGAGCCTGACCCGGGGCCGGGGAGCTCCTCGCCCGAGCAGGCGGGCAGCCCGTCCGAAGGGGAGGGCGGCGTCTCCACCTGGGAGTCCTTCAAGCGGCTGGTCACCCCGAGGAAGAAGCCCAAGTCCAAGCCGGAGGAGAAGACCGAGGACGCCGGAGCGGGGGCCGGCGCAGAGCACTCGGCCGCGGAGGGGGAGCCCGGGAAGGAGGAGTCCTGGGTCTCCATCAAGAAGTTCATCCCCGGACGGAGGAAGAAGAGGTCGGATGGCAAACAAGACCAAGCCGCCGCCGAAGGGCCCGCCGAGGCCCACGAGGAGGACTCGGACGTGCCGGCCGTGGTCCCGCTGGCCGAGTACGACGCGGTGGAGAGGGAGAAGCGGGAGGCGCAGGAGGCCGAGCAGAAGGGGGCCGTCTCCGTGTCCGAGGAGCTCAGCAAGAGCCTGGTCCACACCGTGACCGTGACCGTCGTCGATGGGGCCAGGGCCGTGTCCGACATCGAAGAGAGGTCGCCTTCCTGGATCTCCGCGTCGGCGATGACGACAGGGCCCGTGGACCGAGCCGAAGAGGAAGCCGGGCCACCCATGGCGGGGGGGCTGGAGAGAGAGGTCAGGGCGGAGGAGACCCCCATGGTCATCCCAGCCCCGCCTGAGGGCCGATGTGCTGGGGAGGACGCCAGGGCCGGTGAGGACACCAGAGCCGGTGAGGACACCAGAGCCGGTGAGGACACCGTGGCCAGTGAGGACACCAGAGCCGGTGAGGACACCAGAGCCGGTAAGGACACCGTGGCCCGTGAGGACACCGTGGCCCATGAGGACGCTGTGGCCCGTGAGGACGCCGTGGTCCATGAGGTGGAACTGACTGCCGAGGCCGTGACCGCTGCAGAACCCACGGACGCAACCGAGGCGTCCGGCGCCGAGGAGACCGCCGACATGGTTTCGGCCGTCTCCCAGCTGAGCGAGTCCCCAGACACCACGGAGGAGGCCACGCCAGTTCAGGAGGCGGAGGGCGGGGAGCCCGACGTGGAGGGTCAGGAGCGGCGGACCCAGGAGGTCCTGCAGGCGGTGGCAGAAAGGGTTCAAAAAGCGTCACAGCTTGATGTCCGGGGCCCGGGGGCCACGCGGAAGGTGGAATCCCAGCTGCCAGAGGTGGCAGAGGCCGAAGAGGATCCTCCCGCGGAAGAGGCGGGCGTGGCTGTGCAGGGACACGCAGGAGAAACGAAGGCTGAGGATCTGCCACAGGGGAAGGTCCCTGGACAGGCCGCCCCAGAACACGCCGAAGAAGTCCCTCAAGTCCCCGAGAACATCACGTCCAGCGAGCTCATAACCCCCCGCCATGCCGAAACCCTGGCTGGGGTGAAATCAGAGATGATGGTCCTGGAACAGGCTGTTGGCCCGGACTCGGCTGAAACCCTCACCGACAGCGAGGCCAGTGGGAGCACCCCCGTGGCCGACTGTGAAGCTGGCCATTGCTCACAGCAAGACACGGCCACGGAAGTCCACGCAGAGGGGGAAGGCGCATCCGGTACGAAGCCGCGGGTCGGGGAGGCCCAGGCAGTTCCTCCGCTGAGAGAGACGCCCCCAGCACCCTCGGGGCTCCAATCCCAGGAAGACAAGAAAGAACACTCAGAAACCGAAGAGGGTTTAGAACCTGGAGAGGCACCGGTGGAGACGGTGCCCGTTCTCTCAAAGGCGGAGGCGACTCAAGAGGCCGGCCAGTTTGCTGATGAGGCATCCGAAGACGCACCCTCGGTGGGAGGACTTGACGCGTCTGCGGACGCAGACATGACAGCGAGCCAGAAAAAGACCGCCGAAGTCGCCCTTAAAGATGAAGTGACTGAAGAAGCTGATGGTCCAAAGAATGAAAAGACTGAATTCCAGAGTCCTGCTCAGGCTCCTGCAGCCCCGGGGGAGAGAGAGATGGCAGTGCAAGTGGAAAGGGAGGAAACGGAAGCCAAGGCGGCCCATGGAAGTGAAGAGGAACGTGAGCCCAAACCGGTGCACCTGCTCAGCAGCCAGCTGGTCCAGTCAGTCCAGGTGACCGTCATCGACGGGGAGAAGGAAGTTAACCGTTTTGAAGAAAGCTCTGCTTGGCTAGTTCAAGGGCAAGCGCTCTGCACAGACATCCAAGTTCAGAGCCCGGTGGCGGCTCTACCTCTCGCAGCTGTGTCTGTGGAGGAGCAGGTCTTAGGAGAAACCGTCCAGCTTTTCGAGGCAGCTACGCCTTGGGAGTCTGCAGAGGCACGCGTGGAGCTCAGCAAGAGCCTGGTCCACACCGTGACCGTGGCAGAGCCCTCTGACGGAGAAGGCGCTGTCGGTCAGCCAGGGGGAGGCGCAGCACCCACGGGCCCCGAGGCTCAGGCAGAGTCGGCCCCGGTCCCCGCACCCGCCACCCCGGCAGAAGGCGTCAGTGCCGACCCGGAGGGAGACAAAACCACCTCCCGGGGAGGGAAGTCCAAAGAAGAAGACAGCGAGCAGGTTAGCGGTCAGGGAGTCAGCGTGAGCGAGACGGGAGAGGAAAGTTTAAAGGCCGAAGAGGAGATTTTGCAACTTCAGACGGAGAGCCAGAAACTCGTGCAAAACGTCATCGAGACGGCCGTGGGCCAGTTAGTAAGCACCGGAGACACGGCCCCCGACGGCCAGCCCCCGGCCCCGCTGATGGAGGCTGACCAGCAGGAAGCCGAGCAGAGAATCGAAAAAGAAGAAGGGGAACCTCAGAGCCCGGCAGAGGCTGAAGCGGCCCGAGAGCAGTCTGCACTGACCACCGTGGGCCAGAGTCCCTCCGACATTCCCAAAGGCTCGGACGCGGCTGCAGAGGAGGCCACGGCCGCGGCCTCGGGGGTCCAAGGCTCCCCTGTCGATGCCCAGCAGCGTGAAGAGCTCGTCCACCCCGCCCAGGACAAGAGAGAAGCCACCGGAACCAGGTCTGAGCCGGAATTCGGTGATCGAGCCCACGGCTTGGGAGAGAGAACAGAGAACGAAGCCCAAGAAAAGGAGAGACGTGACGCCGTCGATTACCCCGAGAACCAGATCTCAGCCCTGGTAGACCCTGAGGCCTCGGGAGACTTAACCAAAGAGTCCCCGGATGCCAACGGACCAAAGCTAAAAGAGAAGGAGGTGGGGTTTCAGGAAGGAAAAGGGCAGAGCGCGCCCGAAAAAGAGATCAAAACACAGACTCCGGAGGAGACACAGGAACAAGAGAGGCAGCCAGCCACGCCGGAACTTGCAGAGTCCTAAAATGCCACGTAAGCTAGCTTCTTCTTTTTTTTTTTTTTTTTTTTTAATATATATTTTATTGATTTTTTTAGAGAGGTAGAGAGAGGGATAGAGAGTTAGAAACATTGATGAGAGAGAATCATCCATCAGCTGCCTCCTGCACACTACACTCCTTACTGGGGATGTGCCCGCAACCAAGGTACATGCCCTTGACCGGAATCGAACCTGGGACCTTTCAGTCCGCAGGCCGGCTCTCTATCCATTGAGCCAAACCGGCCAGCCAAACCGGTTTCGGCTAAGCTAGCTTCTTCTGAAATAACTGTTTCCTCTTCCGTGCCATTGGACGGCAGATTTATACTAGGGGAAGCAGGAGTTCAAACCAGTATGCTTTTAGGTAGAACCTGCCATTGGGAAATGCCCATCAAACAGACTAGGACCGGGGTCGGCAAACTGCAGCTCGCGAGCCACATGCAGCTCTTTGGCCCCTTGATTGTGTCTCTTCCACAAAATACCACAGCCTGGGCGAGTCTATTTTGATGAAGTGGCATTAGAAGAAGTTTAAGTTTAAAAAAAAAAATGTGGCTCTTCAAAGAAATTTCAATAGTTGTACTGTTGATATTTGGCTCTGTTGACTGATGAGTTTGCTGACCCCTGGCTAGGAGATCTAGGTTAGTTTCTCCTCTCTGATTGGAATGCCAGTCAGTCATATTGGTGTCATGAAAATAATGATTTCATTTCATCCCCAATATGACTGCCTTCAAAGAAAATAAAGGCCCACATGTGCGTGTTTGGCCAGAGATCTAAGAAATACGTTGTGCTCACTCAGCCCCATACCAACTAGTTTGTTGAATTTTTTTACAACTAGAATCTCAAAGTAGGTTTATATTACACTGCTTGAAATTCATTTTATAGCTCTTTAGAGGAAAAATGATTTTTTTCCCCCAGCATTAGTCACAAGCACTTTTTAAATAGATATTTTTATTGATTTCAGAAAGGAAGGGAGTGGGAGAGAGAGAAACGTCAGTCATGAGAGATAATCGTTTGGCTGCTTCTTGCAAGTCCCCCAATGGGGATTCAGCCCACAACCCAGGTGCCTTGACCAGGAACCAGCCTCACACTCCTGGTTCATAGGTAGATGCTAAACCACTGAGCCACACCGGCTGGGCTAACAAACACTTCTTAAAAGATTCCAGCGCATGTGGCACGTTAGGGAACCTCAGACATTGGCTTTGCAGTCGAAGAGCACCTTTTACTTTCTTGCAGAATTAAATGATGGGATTGGGGTGGCCACTGACCACAGCTCACCTTCACAGCTCTTCGTGGTTATACTCTAAAGTAGGTGTGGAACTCAATCAGAGAAGGGGCCAAAATCTAAAATCCAGCCTAAATCGCGGGCCGAATGGTTTACTGAACAGTCATAAACTGTCATCGTGATGGAAACGCAGTGGAGTGCAGTGATGACAGCGCGGTGCGGGCCACATTGCAAGGCCTGGCGGGACGGATTTGGCCCGCGGGCCTTGTGTTTGACACATGTGCTCTAAAGGAGGAGAGAGGAAAAGGAGATTTACTTTCGAATCTGTCTTTCTCCTCTAGTTACACGAGTGCCCTTGCAAGACCAGAATGTGAAAGACAAGTGGTAGAAGAAAACGAATGCTGCTGATGACACCCAAGACCAAGATTTCAGAACTGTGAGATCCGAAGAACAGGCCCGCCAACCGATCTCGTCCCCAGAGAACCCCGACAATCCTGAGGCTGCATCGGGAGCTAGAACCAGTTCCTCCTCACCGCCTGTCGCATCCCCTCGATGCCGTATCGTGTTTCTCATCCGAGGTCCTGAATTCTTCCCCCGGGGAACTGGCGTTGGCAATACCTGGTTCCACCTTCTCAAACTGGAGTATCATTCTTGATGTATTTATATGTGTCTTAAGTAATCCTCCTCCTGTATCTATTGTATATTTTTTTTTTCTTACTGTTTAAGGAGATGGTGCGGTGGAGTACGTTTCTGATGTATCCCAGTCTGTGATGGGCATGGGCCATCGTGTCCCCTCGGCAGCTCTGAGCCTCCCGGAGGACCTGTGAAAACAGCTTCCCAGCATTACATTCCTGAGCAGACGCTACCTGCTCTCTTTCAAACTCCCTAGGGACCAGGCCCGCATTTAGTATTACTCTGAAGCCAGTCACCTTCCTATTGTGCACCGTGTGCTAAGCATGAAAAGCATCCTTTGGGCGGGAGCATATAGAAGGTTCTGTGGTTACTGTGAAGTTTTTGTGGAGGGTGGAAGTATTTTGGGTTGGTTTTTTTTTCAGTAGTGGATTAACTTCCAGTCCTTCTCCTAATTGTTATGGTGGTTTGGACAGATGTGGGCTTAAATCCCGAGGCAAAGTAGTGACATAGTTTTTCATACTCTTAAAAAAAAAAAAGGATTGGCTTTAAGTTTTGGGTTCTGCTCTTACATGCTAGATCACGTTTCCGCCCAGCATGAAGCACGTCAGGCTCCTTACAGGGGCATTTTGGTAGATGCTGGGTTGTGTCGGTGCCATATTTGTGCCCACTCTTTCAGAACCACGTTGCATTATGTTCCTTGGGATAAACTGTGATTTGACAACTGATTTAAACAAAAGCTTTGCTTCCCTTAGATTTGCTGGTTTTACTAGAGGCTAGGAATGCTGAGACCTGTGTCTCCCGCCTTCTACAAGCAGAAGAAGCTAGAACGTTCTAATGTAGTTGCTGTGTGATGTGACCACTTTATACCGGTTTGAGTTCGTGTTCAGAGGAAGTTGTGGCAGATAGGCATCTGCCAAAATAAGCCAGGAGCTTTTCAGATGGACGGAACTGGTACAATGCTACCATCTGGTGGCATCTTCCTGAAAAGGTCGATTTTCTGCATTACTTTTTGTTCACGATCAGTGTTTCTAGAAAGCAATTTTAAGAAGGCTTAGTTGTAAAATTGCCTCGCCTAACAGGCGATCTTGTTTTTGTTTTTTTTTAAATGTTAAGAATGATTTCTGATTCTTGTAAAGGATTCCTTCAAACAGTTGCCACACTAAGAATAGTTATCTGCCCTAAAATTCCACTTTCCCGCAGGTAAACTGGCCTGGCATATACACTTTTAAAATTTTACTCAAACTCGGTACTCCCACTTTGAGAACTTAATTGTAATGGCCAATTGATTTTAAAGGATAACATTCTAGAAAGACTAGAATAGCTTTTTAGCAGAAAGAATATTTGCTTTTAGAACTGAAGAGTAGTTGCTCTGATACCCACACACCTGACTACAATAAAACACCGGCTGTAGTAGCTCTGATAGCAGCATGCCAGACTACAATAAAACATGGGTTCGAGTGCCGTGGTCGGCAAACTGCGGCTCCGTTGACGAATGAGTTTGCCGACCACTGACCTAGACTCTCTATTTCAATAATTACAGGCTGTTGCTTATGATTAAGCCCCCATCCCAGTGGTGAGCAAACTCATTAGTCAACAGAGCCGCAGTTTGCCGACCACTGTTCTAGTGTACGGCCTTGTAGCTGGAAAGCACTGGCTGGCCTTTTTGGAATTACTCTCATGTATAATAGCCACCTGTGCTTAATTGTTAAATTTTAAAATTTCCAAATTGAAAAAAAGGAACCTGTGATCTAAATCAGTGGTCGCCAACCCGTGGTTCAAGGACCATTGGTGGTCTGAAAGGTTGGCGACCACTAATCTAAATAGTTTCTCTGGCCAACTTGGGACTTTTTTTTTAAGTGCTAGTGTCAAATTTAGAAACATCACTGATTAGAGAGAATCATTGATCAGCTGTCTCCTGCATGCCCCCTACTGGGGATCGAGCCCACAACTTGGGCATATGCCCTGAGAGAATCGAACCATGACCTCCTGCTTCATAAGTTAACGCTCAACCACTGAGCCACACTGGCCAGGCGCTAGTGTCAGTTTTTGAAGATCAACCAAAAAGTATTGGAGATGACAGCAGTTTGGAAGGAGTTCAATGATAGCTTCGCTATTGACTCAACTTCCTCTCTCTGGCAGGAAGAAAGTGCTATTTTGAGCAGATTAAAGATTTGTGTCGTTTGTGGTAAACAGATTTCCTTTTTTTTTTTTTTTTTTGGTTTAAATTCCATCCCACTACTTCATCCCATGTACTGACATATGGCCAAGCAGGTCATCACAACTGGTTTTCTTCATGACTCTGCTTCTCCTACTAACATCTGGATGGGCCCTGACTACTTCTGTACAAGCTCTGTACCTCTGTCTGTTAAGCAACATCGTTTTACTGTAACGAGGAATGCCATTAACAAAAGTGTGAAATACAGTTCTGTGTTATAATTCTAAAGCTGCCGTTACTTTATGACGTTCATAGTAGTAACCGTGTAAACTGCAGAAATTGGAGCAAGTGCCTAAATTTTGCTATTTTTGGCATTACTAATGGAACCATGTACAACAGAAAGCAATGCAAGACTTGTAATCTCTCTCCACTTCTTGTAATTGAAGACTGTAAAATGTGCCCCTAAAGGTTATTTTCTTAATGGTTCACACAACTTGTCTCTCTCTCTGTACGCGTATACTTTGTTCCAGAAATTTCCTTTGCTGTTTGGAGCTACAGATAGTTAAGGGCTGAAAATGTTAGCTTTCAGTGTAAGCTTCAAGCCTAGCAGTTTTCTTTAACCGAAGATAATATTTGAGTCTTAGTTCTGTTTGGGGCAAATTTTCATTTATCTAAATAAAATGCAACCTAATGAAATGCTATGGATTTTTTCTCTAATTTTTACCTTAATTCAGTTTTGCTTGCTTTTCCCCTTCGTTTTGTGATATTCCTCACACATTTAACTTTTTAACTACTAAGTCATTCCTTTGTGACACTGCGCAGAGCATCATGGGAGTTTGGAATGTATCTGGGATATGTGTGAATGTGCAAAAACCTCTGTCAGTGATTCTTAACCTTTTGGGGTCAGGGGCCCTTTTAATTAGAATCTTATTAAACCTCTGACCTCCAAAACCCCAAAATGAACAGTGTCATGTACAGTTTTTATATAGTCACACAGATTTACTCTGAAATCCCAACCAACAATCAGAACTAGAGTTAAATCTCTACAAGAAAGGAAATGGACACAACCTATGTTGGAAATGGACACAATCTCTACAGTTCAAGGACTCCAGGTAGTGAGCAGATGAAACCTGGACACACCTATGTGTTCAATAACTTCAAGCCTACATGCCTCTTCATTTTCAAAGGGATCCCCAAATTGGATCTGCTGGAAATCCTTGCATTTTTGTGTAAATCCAAGTTTCTCCTGTGTGAAGAGCAGCTACAGTGTTTGGTCAGGTTCAAGGCTTAGACTAATGAGAGGGCACAGTCCTCTCGTGTTAAAGCCACGTGCAAGTCCCAGCGTGGAGGGCAAAGCCCTCCCAGCACAATTACAGCCAAAGGCTACAGTTGTAAGCTTGACCTCATGGTCGGAACCTGTGGCCCCACGTGGCTGAGTGATATGGGCTGCTGGAGGTGCAGCAAGTAAACGAAGTTTGATCAGGTGCGTGTAACTGAGCAGATTCGAAACCCGCGAGAACGTTGTAAGCACGCCCTTACTTTGCCTCGTGGGAACTGGCTATAAAACAGAGACTCGCCTTGCAGGCTGTGGCGCTGTCTTTATATCCGAGAGGGCAGCATCTCACCCTAGACCCAGCTTTATTTTCTTGTCTGTCTTTTCTTAATCCTTCACCCCGTCTCTGGTTCACCCATGGCTATGCCAGCTAGGCACACTCCTCTCCAAGTTCCTTACCATCTCCAGCCTAGGTCACTGGAGTTAGGAAAGTGATCTGGGCCCAGCAGGAGTGGCTCAGTGGGTTGAGCGCTGTCCTGTGCACTGAAGTGGTGCCGGTTTGATTTCCGGTCAGAGCTTATTCCTGGGTTGTGGGTTAAGTTCCCGGCTGGGGCCTCCGTAGGAGGTAACGGATCAATGTTTCTCTCTCTCTGTCTCCCTCTCTAAATATGTCCTTGGGTGAGGTGAAGATTAGAAAAAAAATAAGAAACTGATCTGGGGCCTATTTTTATATATGGAAGAGTTGAGATTATCACCTGCTCTTAAAGTGATAACAGGTTTAGGCTAAGGGGGCCGGGGCTTGGAGATGGCATGGTGGTGAAGATAATGAAGAAAACAATTTTCTTTTTTAAATGTCACATCTCACAAATCAAACCTATTTCACTGAGGATTTTTTCACCGATTTCAGAGAAGGGGTGGAGGGAAAAGAAAGACATCAATGTGAGAGACATCTATCAGATGCCTCCCACATACGCCCCAACCGGGTATTGAACCTGGAACCTTTCCGTGCTTGGGACAATGTTCCAACCGAGCCACCTGGCGGGCGGGCGGGGGGGGGGGGGGGGGGGAGGAACCTATTTCTTGAGATAGAAATATAACTGGCATCCTTCAGTGCTCCACTCTGTAATCTCCTAACTCCGCATATTTCCCCACGGCTTGTTGACACTGAAACCTGTAACACCAGAGAAGTGTTACACCTGAGCTCTTAAGGGAGCTTCCCTATAACGCTAGGATTTGGGGCCAGGGACCGAGTGGGGTAACAGTTCCAGGTTATTTCTCTACAACAGGATATTGGGTACCAGAGCCTAGTAACCACCCTGTGCTTTTCCTTCAATTCTAATAACAGCGTAATCAAGGAGCACACAAGCAATCCTTTAGTTATGCGAATTTAAATTTTAAAACCACACTGTGCTTGATCCTGTTTATCCCCGTTAGTCTTAGGAGCTCACCTGGTTCCTGGAAAAGCAGGTGGGGCTGCCTGTTTAACTTGAAACCTGAACACAATTAAGGCTTTTAAAAGACTCGGCCAAAATGATACTGTAGGGCGGGCCGGTGGGCTCTATCGAGGGGTGAGATTAACCCTACCAGGTGCTCAAATCGGTTAGCAGGGAAGCGAGGCTCTCCATGCTGTAGCCCCTCCCAAGGCAGTGCTGGGGGTGGTGAGTTTTTGGTTATCACAGTGGCTAGGGTGTTACTAGAACTTCTTAAAATGTATAGGTTTTTTATTGCCCTAGCCCAGTGGTTGGCAAACTCATTAGTCAACAGAGCCAAATATCAATTGAAATTTCTTTGGAGAGCCACATTTTTTAAAAACTTCTTCTAACGCCACTTCAAAATAGACTCGCCCAGGCCGTGGTATTTTGTGGAAGAGCCACACTCAAGAGGCCAAAGAGCCGCATGTGGCTGGAGAGCTGCAGTTTTCCGATCATGGCCCTAGCATAGCCCTGGTCTTGGGGTTTGGATGCCAGGACCTTCCCGCCCCAGAGATAACATCTATGCCTCAGTTGGATTTTCAGCTCCAGGCTCAGAAAAGCAACAAAATGAGGCACAGCTGACCTCCGCCCCAACTGCATTGTGTCATGACCCCCTGCCCTGGTGCCAAGCAATCAGTAGGGACCACTCCCTGAAAGGACACACCTGGAAAGCTGCTGAATATTCTATTAAGATCTTCCCCCGGGCCCCGGCCTGAGTGGCTCAGTCTTTGAGGGTTGACCTACGTACCAGGAGATCGCAGTTCAGTTCCTAGTCAGGACACATGCCCGGGTTGCTGACTCGATTCCCAGTGTGGGGCTAGCAGAAGGCAGCCGGTCAATGATCCTCTCTCATCATTGATGTTTCTATCTCTCCTCCTTTCCTCTCTGAAATCAATGTATTAAAAAACACACAGCCAAAACCGGTTTGGCTCAGTGGATAGCGCGTCGGTCTGTGGACTGAAAGGTCCTGGGTTCGATTCTGGTCAAGGGCATGTACCTTGTTTCGAGCACATCCCCAGTGGGGGGGTGTGCAAGAGGCAGCTGGTTGATGATTCTATCGATGTTTCTAACTTCTATCCCTCTCTCTTCCTCTCTGTAAAAAATCAATAAAAATATATATATAAAATTAAAAAAAAGCTGCTAACTTCCATGTCCTTTAAAAAAAACAAAAAACAAAAAAACCCACAATACAAACTCTTAGGACATGCAGCATGTCAGCAAATTCATTAGTCAACAGAGCCAAATATCAGAAATACGATTGAAATTTCTCTCGAGAGTCAAATTTTTTAAACTTAAACTTCTAATGCTGCTTCTTCAAAATAGACTCGCCCAGGCTGTGGTATTTTGTGGAAGAGCCACATTCAAGGGGCCAAAGATCCGCATGTGGCTCTCGAGCCGCAGTTTGGCAACAATGGCCCTAGCCGGGTTTTTTTGTGTGTTTTTTTCAGTGGACCGGCCAGGCGTCTTCAAACTTTTTAAAGTGGGGGCCAGATCACGGTCCCTCAGAGAGCTGGAGGGCCGGACTATATGAACTACTAATTCCTACTGTAACACCTCGGCTGCGCTCCCTGCCCAAAAAACCTGGCGGGCTGGATCAGACTCCTCTGCGGGCTGCATGTGGCCCGCGGGCCGTAGTTTGAAGACGCCTGCAGCCCGAGGACTGAGGGGTTTGGGTTCATTTCCAGTCAAGGGCACATACCTCTTGGGTTGCAGGCTCAGTCCTCTGCCCTTGGCCTGGTTGGGTGTCTCTCTCACCGTCCCTTCCACTCTCTCTAAAAATCCGTGGGAAAATGTCCTCGGGTGAGGATTAACAAAAACATTAAAAATAAAACCCTTAGGAGGACCCAGTGCGCTCTTCCTCCTGGGAGCAAGCTGGTACCTCTCCCTCTCCCTGCCCCTCCCCCTCTCCCTCCTTGCCCCAGCCACTTTACTGTTCCTTCCTCACTCCTGAGGGCCTTCCTTTGCCTCAGTAATTTGTCTCCCTAAACTTATTTCTTCTAGAAATTATTTTTTCTACCTCTGTGATTTACCCAGTATTTCTTCTCTTAGAATTTGGGTTTTAGCTCTGAATTCATTCCTAGCCAGAATCCAAGTTCTGAGGTTGCTAAACCCAGGTTAGGTCTGACCCCACAGGTCTGACACCTGGTGCTGCCCCCCTCTCCCCGCCCCCCTCCAACAGGACAACACGCACCTCAACCAACTGAGCCACACTGGCCAAGACAGGACATCCCTTCTTAAGAAAGGATTTCCCATTTCTTTAAAATTAAAAATAATAATAATAATAAAAAATATATATATATATATTTATTTATTTATTGATTTCAGAGAGGAAAGGAGAGGGAGAGATAGAAACATCGATGGTGAGTCATTGATCAGCTGTCTTCTGCATGTCTCACACTGGGATTCGAGTCCAAACCTGGGCATATGCCCTGACTGGGAATCGAACCGGAGATTCCTGGTTCACAGGTCGATGCTAGAGAGGAAGCATCCACCTCATGCTGTCTGCATTTGCTTTCCATCCTCCCATTGCCAGTGCCTCCTCAGGCTTTGTGGCTTGCTAGCACATCCAAGAAATACTTAGAGGGGGCCCTGTGGGGTGGGGGCTTGGGTTGGAGGAAGCCAATCTGCAGTCTTTCCCTGGTCACTCCCGAGGCTCCCAAACTGGGCATCGGTAAGGCTCTCTGTTCTCTCTGGCTGCTGTCTTCTAGCCTTTGTCTGCTTAGGTGCCTCTAACTAAAAAGGTGAAATAATTCTTTAGTTCATCTTTTTCTGCTAACTAATGTACGTAGACATTTCTTTTTATTTATTGATTTCAGAGAGGAAGGGAAAGGGGGGAAGAAACATCCATGATGAGAATCATTACTTGGCTGCCTCCTGCCTGGGGATCGAGCACACAACCAGAATTGAACCTGGGACCTTTCAGTCTGCAGACCTATGCTCTAGCCACCAAG